TTTCTCTTCCTCTGTCACTCTCCGCGCATGCGTATAGATGCGCCCTCTCTCTCCCTCTCTCCATCCATTTCTTCACATGCGTTAGTTTTCTCTCTCTCTCTCTCTCTCTCCTTTCTCTTTCCCTCCCTCTCTCTCTCTCTCGCTCTCCTCAACCTCTCTCTCTCGCTCTCTCTCTCTCTCTCTCTCTCTCTCTTTCGTGATCCTCTCCTCTCTCTCTCTCCCTCTCTCTCTCTCTCTCACTCTCTCTATATATATAGATCAGTCTCTCTCTCTCTCTCTCTCACACCCTTTCTCTCCTTTGTCTCTATCCCCCCCTCTCTCTCGCTCTCTCTCTCTCTCTCTCTCTGTCCCTATGTCTCTTTCTCTCTCTCTATCTCTCTCTCTCTCGTTCTTCCTCTCTCTCTATCTCTATCTCTCTCTCTCTCTCCCCCCCCCGACCCCCCGGGCGCGGCGGGGGGCGGCTAGGAAGACGAACACCTCGAACTGCAGGCGCGCGCGGGAGCAACGCGCGCGCGCGCCCGCGCGCCGCGACAGAACGACACGCGCGACAGAACGACACGCGCTCTGACCGCCCACTGCCCTCATCTCACCTCATCACAACTGACGGAGCAGGAGACGGAGGTCGAGGCAAGGCCGATGGGCACCACGTAGCTCCCCCCCGGCGTCGATCAGCAGCTCTATTTTGTCAAGGGAAGCCGCTGCCAGTAGGGGTGACGGGCGGGGCGATAGGTTGCCCCGCGGCTTCGCCACGCGGCGGCGGGGGCGCATCCCCGGCGGGCATACTGGCCAGCAGCCTGGCCTTCCTCCTAGATCACTTTGTTCATTATTGCCTGCATTCTTGCCTGGCCCAGGGTTTGGGCCACGAGGGGGAACTGGGGTTCTGCTCGCACGCATCTGGCAAAGGCGCAACGACGCATGCCACGCCTCCGGATTGGCTCCAGGCTGAATCGTCGGATCAGCCGACGATGCCGCTGTTTTGCAGCAGCGCATCTTGCACTGATCGGATCGAATGACCTCGACCAACGAGTTCATGCAGATTCGGTGCTTTCGTGGCACATGCCGCAAAGCACTGGCGCCGCCTTCCAATAGGATCTGGACCACTGCCTTGTTATCCTCGCCGATGATCAGCCGGGCCCTACACCCACCGATAAAACTACCGATCCTCTCGGCAACCCCAGCTGTTATAGGCTGTGGCTGGTCCCGCGAGGGCGGGGTCTCCTTCGTCAGCCCCCCTGCGCTGGTTTGCACGGGCGTTTTCTGCGCACGCCGGACATCAGGCCAGATTCGGGGCACACCGTCTCGCAGACGTCATCCCACAAGCGATACAGACAAGGACTCGGCTCTCGAGCACGCACTCAATGCCACGACCTCACTCTCGGTGGACGAAAGAAACACAACCGCCTGCTTCTTGCAGGACAAAACGTCCAAGAACCCACTAAGGCCGCGTAACCTCCTGTTTTGGACAGGTTGGTCCACGTGCAGTCAGCATCCGTGCACTGCCCAGCTTTGAAACATGTGATCGCTCATCTCCTACAATAAAAAAACCCTCCAAGCTATAATCACGATGCTGGTGCAGATAGAAGAAACGTCTATTCAATCTGCGGTCTCAGAGGGTGTTCCACTTCGTGATACGACGTGCAAACATACATGCCGACTAGCAAATGTCGAATCGACATCACCGAGCGAAGCTCAAAATCTTCATCAAGACACTTGCAGCCGACGTTGTTATGCTCCGGCCACCTCGCAATCTGCAGATTCGAAACTGTGTTCAACCAAGCCATGCGTTGGCGCCTTGCGCAATGATGTGGTAGGGATGTTGGCGCATTCCAGATAACGATTCACGCACTGGTCAATGAAAGCCAACATGTCGCAACGACGACCTTGATACTCGGGGGCAAGACCCGTTTCCCGAAGTCGGTGCGGGGAATATTGGTTGAAGTTGCCGTGTCTTTGCTGGAGGTGGAGCCACTGTCGGTGATTTTCCCCACCGCAGTTTCGCCACACCCACTGTCAGAATCACTCCGGGGATGCGTCACCGCAGGAGGGTGTTCCAGGCGATTTTGAACGTCCGTGCTGGAAAACTTGAATTCCTGGAAATCACATCCGAGAAGATGTCCTCGAGGCTCAGGTGGGTCTAAAAACGGATGCCAACTTTAGCGATGCTACCCCACCTCTGTTGAAGTACTCTGTTTCCCTGCCGTCATAAAATGATCGCCATAGATGGACATGGCAAGGCCAAGCCCTTCATGACGGCAAATGGACTCCCATCCCTTGATAAGCCGCCAGCCTGCACTGAACAGGACCTGCTTGTGGTGGCGCCCGCAAAAGACACGCGACAACGGGTGACCATACAGTGCGGGGCGCAACTGAGCAACACGGCGGCGATAGCCCTTCTTAGTCCAGGCCTCTGGCCAACGCTCCCTATGGAGCTCAATCCACGTATCGGCGCTGTCGATACGTCCGCTTGAGCACAGGAAGGCCTGTGTAGGCGATGACGACATCGGATTGTTGGCCTCCGCTGTTGGGAAAGAGGGCAAATTGGTCAAGCAGCTTGTTGCACTCAATGTTGGACGCGGAGCTGGCAGCGCCAGGGAAACACACTGCCAGTCTGGTATCCTCCTTGGCAATGCTCCTCAGGAAAACGGCATGTCCTTTTAAACATCGATGTCCCTGAATGCCGTCGCCCAGTGCGTCTGCAACAAAAAAATGTTCAACAGCACCTCCTTTCCCGTCGGGCGTGCCTCGCGCACGACGTCGTCATACTCGTGGACAGAATTGAAGCACAGGCGCCAGTTGGAAATCAGTTTCTACCATTCAACGTCAGGAACGTTTTGTTATAACGCCGCTGGCGTAAATATGATTTTTCTTTTAGGGGGTTGTCTCGTGACGCACGCGCATCGAACGTCAGGCGCGATCACGGCCTGGATGGAGACGTGGTCGCGATAGCCCTAGACTGCGCCCGTGGCCGAGAGTGGCACAACAGATTTCGCAGGGACAAGGCGCGTCGCCTCTTCTCGCTGGGCGTCAACGACGCAGGAAGTAGCGGGCACGGCGCAGTCTCAGAGACGAAGCGGCTGACGTGGGTCAGCTAACTGTTCTTCAACGAAGGCAACTAAAACTGGCAATTCCGTGCGGCCTCCTCCTCCTCCTCCTCCTCCTCCTCCTCCTCCTCCTCCTCCTCCTCCTCGTCCTCCTCCGCCTCCTCCTCATCATCATCTCCTCCTCCCTTTCCTCCGCCTCCTCCCCCTCCACCGCGGATGCCACCGCCGCTGCCCACAGAGGCCTCCTAGACGGGGTCGAAGTAGACGGGGTCGGAAGCTCGCGCCGCATGGTCGACGCATCGTCGATGCATCGACGACGCATCGACGATGCGTCGGCGATGCAACGGCGACGTCGGCGGTGCATCGGCGACGTCGGCGTCGAGAAAAACAGCCCCCGCACCAAGCCGCATCGGCGATGCATCGGCGATACGGCGCTATCCACCGACCCCTACTCGGACCCCGTCAAAAAGAGGCCTGGACCCACGGCGCCAAGCGAGAGCGGACAGACGGGCCAAACAAGACAGGAAGGAGCCGGGCCCCCGGCGCGCGAAGCGGCCTGCGGGCAGCGCGGCGTGGGAGGCGAAGGCGCGCGGCGGGCCCAGCGCCAGCTGCGGCGAGAGCGGGGACGCCTGCGAGCGGGGCGGGGGCGGCGCTTGGGGGGGGAGAGGAGGGCCAGGAGAAGGAGGGGAGGGGGGGGGAACGCTGACATGGGACCTGGGTCCGTGTTCATCTCTAGAGCCTCATGCCTATGCCTCCAGGTCAGCAAGAGGAGGGGGCACAAGGCGGGTCCGGCATTGAAGTGGCTCTCGAAGCTGAGCGTGCCTCGCCAGGGGACACGCCTTTGGTGTGTTGCCTCCAGTCGGGCCTCGCGCCTCCTCTTCGCCTTTGCCCTGTTGGCAGCAATGCGTTCCAGCTGGGCGAGGGAGAGAGGCGGCGGGAGCGGCGGCGGCGGCGGCACGGGAGGCGGCGGAAAGGGGGAGGGAGAAGAGTCAAAAAGAGCACGAGCTTCATACTCCTCATCCGACCCAGGTGGCACGATCGGATTCGGCTCAGCAGCTGGAATCGGATCACACCCACCGGCAGCAGGAGTCGGAGGTCCATACTGTGGGTTCTGTGGGCTCTGTGGGCTGTCTTCGGGTTCCGCTGGGTCCTTGAGAAACCTATGGATATCCGGGTCTGCGCGTGAAACTCCCTGCTTCCCACTCTTGTGCACATAGTCGGGGGCAAGAATGAACTCAGCATCGATGTGCGTTATGAAAAAACTGTCGACGATCATCAATGAGGGCAGGGTCAGGATCACACACAACGTCTGCGTCATTGGCGCACGCATATTTCCTGGAAATGGAGGCTGCAATTGAGGCAGCCATTATGTTGCACATCTCCGAGGGGTACGTCTTTTTGGCGTGGGTTCTGAACTGCGGGGCCCCTCCCTTTCCGTCCGTCTCCTTGCCACGCAAAATGTTGTGAGCACCTTTTGGATGATGGCACCATCCCTTCCTCGGGCTGTCTGTCAGCCTGCGGGCAAGGCAGTCCATGCGCAAGCCCAGCTGCCTGGTGGTCGCACGCCCATACTCACTGGTACAACGTGTCGCTGGCTGGTGCACACACTGATCAAAATCTGCTGTGACCACGTTGGGCGCAGATGCTAGGGCTTCCAGGGGCTCCCATTGGAAACTGCTGGGGGCCTGTGTGCGCCAGTATGGGGGAATAGCGTGCTCCATCCACCCTGAGGTCCCTGCAGCAACGTGGGGAGGGGGAGGGGGAAAGAGGGCGACGAGGAGGGCGAGGACGACAACACGGACGGCGAGGCGGAGAGAAGGAGCAGCCGCGGGGGAGGCGCGCGACCAACAGGGGTGGGGGGAGGCCCAGGAGAGGCCCAACAGTGCTTCAAGCGCGCCCCCAGAGCGCCCCAAGGGCGCCCCAAGAGGGCCCCAAAGGGCTTCAAGAGGGCCCCAAGATGCCCACAAGGGGCTCCCAGGGCGTGACTGCATGCTGCTACACATCCCTGAGCAGGGCAGCTCGCCTAGTGCTTTGTTCGATGAGCGGGTGAGGATTTGCGAGACTTGAAGAATATATATATATACACACACATATATATATATAAATATTTCCTCGGGCTACCTGGCCCCAAGATCTGAGGCGCGGCGGGGTCCTTCTTGAGCTGCTCGATCTCCCGGCGCAGCTGGGCGATCTCTCTGTCGTTCTTGCTCAGGCGCTGCTCGGGCTGCCCCTGGCGTGGAGGGGGTCAAGGCACAGGGGCAGGGGCAGGAAGGGCAAGGGGGGAGGGGGAGTGGAAGTGCGAAGGGATGGAGGAGGAGACGGGGGAGTGGAGGGAAGGAGGGGGAGGAGAAGGATGCGGGGTCGAAGAGTCCAGCCGCGCGACAGAGCTCAGATCACTGCCGAACAGCGACCGATGGTCAAGGTCCTTCACGCTGTGCGAAAGGAAATGGGGGAAGAAGGACGAGGACGAGGAGGCCGCTAGATAAAGAGGGTCGTCGTGCGAGCGGGGCGATGCTGCGAGGCTGCGAAGCCGTTGCAACTGCAGGAGTTGCTACCAGCCCTTGTTGTATCCTCCGACTCCTCCCCCTCCTTATCCTCCTCAGCATGTTCGGCATCATCATCCCCATCATCATCGCAAGAGCATCCTCATAAGCATCATCACCACCATCATCACATCACCATCATCATCGGCATCACCATCAGCAGTAACATCATCATCTGCATCAGCATCATCATCCCCATCAGCATCATAATCAGCAGCAGCATCGTCGTCATCATCACCATCATTGCATCATCACCAGCAACATGTGAATCAAATCACCTATCACAAGCATCTACATAGTATTACCCGCACTCACCAAAAAAACAAAAACTGCAAAATGGTCGGCATCGTCGTTGTATGCCTGGCCATCGTTCACCATCGTCGTCACAACCATCATCAACATGGTCATCGTCGTCATCACCACCATCGTCGATGTCATTATCATGCTCACCCACATCAACATGCCATCCTCATCGACGTCAGCATGGCCATTATCAGTGCCATTGCCACCCGTATCATCGTCAGCAGCAACGGCGTAACGGCATCGCTATCATCGAAATCAGCATCATCAGCATCATCATCATACGCATCATCAGCATCATCACCATCACCATCACCATCACCATCGCCATCACAGTCGCCATCATCAACAACAATGCCAACACCAGCATCGACCATCGTCATCATCATCATCAGCAGCATCCATCAGCAGCAGCAGCTCAATCATCAGCATCAGCATCGTCAGTGCCATCATCATTTGCATCACCCTATAATCATCATAATATGTATCGGCAGCATCAGCCTCACCATTATCAACATAATATTCCTAATCAGCATCGCCATCCTCATCATCAACAGAACCATCGTCATCAGCATCATCAGCAGCACCATCAGCATAATCAACATAATCAGCATTAGCATCATCAACAACAACCATAATAAGACTGATCGCTCGTACCTGATCGCGTGTCAATCACTACGTAGATCCCAACCCCTCGATACCCGCCCTCTTCGATTTCGATCGTATCAAGGAGGATGGTGGAGCACGAGAGAGAGTAGCAGAAGGGAGACAAAAGCAGAAAACAAATGGCATAACCAAACGGGCAAATCGGGCGGAATAGCCCTAACGGGCGGGTCGGGAAGGCGGACCCAGGCGGCCAGGTCGAGCAAGCGGGTTGCTGAAGCGTGCGTCCTGCATGAATCGCGGGGAAGTCTCGAGCGACAGCGCATTCTGCAACGGGACCACGAAGGGCAGCGAGGGGGCCACGAAGGAACGATGCCACGAAGAGCAGCGAGGGGGCAACGAAGGGGCTAAACGGGGCCACGACGGGCTGCGAGGGGGCCACGAAGTGCAGCAAGGGGGCCACGAAGGGCTGCGAGGGGGCCACGAAGGGCTGCGAGGGGGCCACGAAGGGCTGCAACGGGGCCACGAAGGGCAGCGAGGGGGCCACGAAGGGCTGCAACGGGGCCACGACGGGCTGCGACGGGGCCACGAAGTGCAGCGAGGGGGCCACGAAGTGCAGCAAGGGGGCCACGAAAGGCTGCAACGGGGGCAGCGAGGGGGCCACGAAGGGCTGCAACGAGGCCACGACGGGCTGCGACGGGAGCCACGAAGGGCTGCAACGGAGCCACGAAGACAGCGAGGGGGCCACAAAGGGCACGAAGTGCAGCGAGGGGGCCACGAAGGGCTGCAACGGGGCCACGAAGTGCAGCGAGGGGGCCACGAAGTGCAGCGAGGGGGCCACGAGGGGCAGCGAGGGGGCCACGAAGGCTGCGATGGGGCCACGAAGGACAGCGAGGTGGCCACGAAGGGCTGCAACGGGGCCACGAAGGGCAGCGACGGGGCCACGAAGGGCTGCAACGGGGCCACGAAGGGCAGCGAGATCCCGATTCCGAAATAAGCTGTGAGGGAGTCCTAGGCGTGAGCCCGACTCCTGGGTGCCTGAGTGTCGGGAGCGCGGCGCTACAGTAAAGTGCTGGGTTTTCGAACGCACGAAGGCGATGCTTAAATAAATTGCAATCAAATCTCCAGCGAGAGCGCGACTCCAGAGCGCCGAGGGAGCGATCCCTATACAATGTGTAAGAAAGTCCCAAGTGAGCGCGCGATTCCTGATTAAATGCAAGGAAGTTTCAGGCGGGAGCGGGGGTCCTGGCTAAATAGTGGGGAAGTCTCAGGCGGGAGCCGTTGTTTCTGTAACCCGGGGGCCAGGGGCGAAGTTTGAACCTTGTGACTTTCCATGTAAAAGAACAAAGTGCGCGCCCCGGAGGAAGCACTTAAACTGAAAAAAACAGTGGCCACCTGAGAGGGATCAACAAAACGTATTGTTTAATAGTGAGAGTTCAACAACAACAACAACAACAACAACAACAACAACAACAACAATCATTTGAAGACTGTTCGCTCGTACTTGCCCGCGTGCCATGCAACGTGCATACCCACGCCCTCGATACCCGCCCCCTTAGTCTTCGAGCGTACCCCCTTCTGGGGGGATTCTTTCTTTTTGCGGGGGCGGGCGGGCTTAGACAAGCGGGCGTGAACGGGCGGGGAATTATTCGGAGGATGGGGCACGCATCTCTTTGCCCACCATTGGAATTAGCGCGGGCCCTGCAAGAAGAGGAGGGGGAGAACGAGGGAGAGTGGGAGGAAGGGAGGGGGAGGGACGAGGCTAAAGGGGAACACGCCAGGAGAGAGGGGGCGAGGAGGGGGGGGGGGACGATTGGAGATAGAGAAACAAAGGAGGGAGGAAGGAGGAGGCTGGAGAGGGGAGGGCGAAGAGAGGAGGGAGGAGGGTTATGGGAGGAGGGTGAGGGGAGAGAGGAAGAGGGAGGAGGAGGGTGGATATGAGGGAGAGGGGAGGGAGGAGGGAGGTTGGATGGGGAGGAAGGGGCAGGAGGGTAAGAGTGTGAACGTTCGAGGAAGTCCTAGGCGAGGGCGTATTCCTCAAGGAAGAGTTGGGCGGGAGCGGGGGTCCCGAGTACATTGTCGGACGTCTCAGGCGGGAGCGCCGGTCGGGCGGGCGGACCCTGACGGGCGGGTCGGGCGGGCGGGACATTCAAACGGGATTGTTGCGTAAATTGCGAGGAAGTATTAAGCGAGAGCGCGATTCCTAAGTAAATTGCGAGGGCGTCCTTGGCGCGAGCGTGGTTCCTGAGCGTCGAGAACGCGATGCTGCAATAAATTGCGAGGAAGTCCTAAGCGAGAGCGCCATTCCTGAGTAAATTATGAGGAAGTCTCGGGCGGGAGCAGGGGCCCTGATTCAGGAAGTCTCAAGCGGGAGCGCCGTTTTCTAATAAAATGTGAAAAAAGTCTGAAGCGGGAGCGCCCTTCCGGAGTAAATTCTGAGGAAGTCTCAGGCGGGGGCGGGGGTCCTGAGTAAATTGTGAGGAAGTCTCAAGCGGGAGCCGTTGTTGTTGTAGTCCGGGGCCCAACAACGCAATCTAATCCGCAAGGCTTCCCCTGTCAAAAAACAGGGTGCGAGCCCCGGAGGAAGCACTTCAACTGAAAAAAACCCATGGGCACCGGACAGGGGGGATCAACAATAATTATTCTTCTGAAATGAGAGTTCAACAACAGCAACAACAACAACAACAACAACAATAAATTTAAGACTGTTCGCCCGTATATGCTCGAGTGTCCAATAACGCATATTTCCCAAACTATCGATACCCGCCCTCTTCGTCTTCGATCGAACCCCTTTTGGGGGGTATACCTTTCTTCCCTGCAGGCCTGGCCCCGGCAAGCGGCGGGGCGGCCGCGTACCGTCGGCCTGGCCAGCGGCAGCGCTGATCGGCGGGGCGGCCGCGGCTCGCGTGCCACTCAACACGAATATCCCGAACCCTCGAGACCCGAACTCTTCGTCCTCGACCGTACCCCCTTGGGGGTAAATCTTTCTTACCTGCACCGTGTAGCTCGTGCAGCTTCCGAGGCAGGGGAAGAGAGGACGGATGGAAGGAAGGACAAGGGAGAGGGAGGAGGATGGAACACGGGCTAGGAGCAGAAAACACGTGGCAGAGCCAGACGGGCAGATCGGGCGGGTAGACCCTACCAGGCGGGTCGGGAAGGAGGGCCCAGGCGGCCAGGTCGAGCAGGCAGGTTGCTCAAGCGTGCGTCCTGCATGAATCGCGAGGAAGTCCCGAGCGACAGCTCAATTCCCAAATCAATCGTGAGAAAATCCTGGATGTCGAGGGCGTGACTCCTGAATGTCGAGGACGCGGCGTCTAAATAAGTTGCGAGAAAGTGCCCATGCGAGAGCGCGATTCCTGAAGAACTCGTGAGAAGGCCGGCGCGAGAGCGCGATTTGAGATTAATGTGTGAGGAAGTATCAGGCGGAAGCTGTTGTTGTTGTAGCACGGGGGCCAACAACGCAGTTTGACCCTAGTGACCTTCCCTGGTTAAAAAACAGAAAAGAACTGAATGCGAGCCCCGGGGGAAGCATTTCAATTGAAAAAACACGAAGGTCACCGGAGGGGGGATCAACAATAACTATTCGTTGGTAATGATAGAATTCAAAGGTAACGACAAAAACAATCATGTTCAGACTGTTCGCTCCTAACTGCTCACGCACAAATCAATACGTATATCCCAAGCCCTCAGTACCCGCACTCGCCGTCCTCGATCGTACCCCCTTGGGGATATATCCTCCTTACCTGCCCCGTGCATGTAGTGGAACCCCTAAACCAAGTGAAGAGAAGACGGGTGGAAGGGGAAGGGAGAAGAACGGAGCACGAGAGAAATTAGCAGGAGGAAGGCAAGGAGCAGAAAACAAGTGGTAGAACCAGACGGGCAGATCGGGTGGGCAGACCCATAGCGGGCAGGTCGGGAAGGCGGACCCAAGCGACCAGGTCGAGCAGGCGGGTTGCTGAAGTGTGGGTCCTGCATGGATCACGAGGAAGTCTCGAGCGATAGCGCGATTCAGAAGTAGATCGTGAGAAAAGCCAAAGCGAGAGCGTGATTCCTCAGCGCCGAGGGCGCATCGTCTGAATAAACTGCGAGGGAGTGCCCATGCGAGAGCGCGATTCGTACACAAATTGTGAGGAAATTCCGCGCGAGAGCGCGATTTGGGATTAAATTGTGAGGAACTATCAGGCGGGAGCCGTTGTTGTTGTAAACCTGGGGCCAACAACACAGTTTGAGCCTGGTGACTTTCCCTTGTAAAAACCAGGCGCGAGCCCCTGGGAAAGCACTTCAATTGAAAAATCCAATGGTCACGGGAGGGGGGATCAACAATAATTATTCAGTAATGATAGAGTTCAACAACAACAACAACAACAACAACAACAACAACAACAACAACAACAACAACAACAGCAGCAGCAGCAACAACAACAATAACAATGACAATAACAATAAAAATAGCAATAATAACAACAATAATAATAACAACAACAACAACAACAACGCCAACAACAACAACAACAACAACAACAACAACAACAACAGCAACAACGACAACACCACCACCACCACCACCACCACCAACAACAACAACAACAACAACAACAACAACAACAGTAAGACTGTTAAGACTGTTCGCCCTTATATGCTCGAGTGTCCAATAATGCGTAGTTCCCAAACCCTCGATACCCGCCCTCTTCGTCTTCGATCGAACCCCTTTTGGGGGGTATACCTTTCTTCCCTGCAGGCCGGGCCCCCGCAAGCGGCGGGGCGGCCGCGGACCGTCGGCCTGGCCAGCGGCAGCGCTGATCGGCGGGGCGGCCGCGGACCGTCGACCCGACCCCAAGAGGGACGGACAGGGGACCGACCACGACGACGACGACGACGACGACGACGACGACGACGTCGAAGACGACGACGCGACGACGACGACGACGGCGACGACGAGCGAAAGCGAGAGCGAGAGAGAACGACAGCAGGGCCACGAAGGGCACGAAGTAGGCCACGAAGGGCGACAGCGGGGACACGAAGGGAATGCGTATGGGGCCACGAAGAGCGCGAACGAGCGGGGGCCACGAAGTGCATATAATGCGGGGCCACAGAAGGCAACTATGGGGCCACTGAGGGTAGCAACTGGGCCACGTAGGACAGTGACGGGGACACAAATGGCGACAGCGGAGCCACGAAGGGCATGCACATGGGGCCACAACGAGCGCGACCCCTGGGCGCCTGGGTGTCGGGAGCGCGGCGCTTGGGCAAATTGCAAGAAATTCCAACGCAAGGCCATTCTTCGAAATCAGTAAGTTGCAAGCAAACCTCCAGCGAGAGCGCGACTCCAGAGCGCCGGGAGAGCGATTCCTGAATAAATTGTAAGGAAGTCCCAAGCGAGAGCGCGAGTCCTGAATAAAATGGAAGGAAGTCTCGGGCGGGAGCGGGGGTCCTGGCTAAATTGTAAAGACGTCTCAGGCGGGAGCCGTTGTTGTTGTAACCGGGGGGCCAGGGGCCCAGTTTGAGCAGGAAGACTTTCCCTGTGAAAAAAAACAGGGTGCGAGCGTCGAGGGGCACACTTGGGGGGGGGATCAACAATAATGATTTTTCGGGAATGCGAATTCACCAAGAACATCAACATCAACATCAACATCAACAGCAGCATCACCTTCCGCTTCATCATGCTCCCCAGCCCTCCCCTCCTCTGGCCCCGCCCTCTTGGCCCCCCCTTCCTGGGACATCCTCGCCGGCCGAAGCTCGGCGATGGCTTCGACACGTCATGGAGGCAGGAGCAGCGGCAGCAGGAGCGGGAGCAGAGCCCAGCACGCTCCCTGCTCCCGTCGCCCTCTTCGGGGCGACGTAAGACTCGGGTACGGGGTACTCGGGTGGGCCTCACGGGGGCCACCACAAAACCGACGAGACCCCATCTGAAACTTGACGCGGGGCTCCCGCGGCAGACAGCCCACGAAAACGGGACGGCCAAAATCCAGGACGCGCTCGTCCAGAAAGAGCCGGCGGGCCCGGGCTCTGGCCTACTCGAGTCTCACGCTTCCCCGGCCCCTCTGCCCACGCCAGGTCCCCGCGCCGCGCGCCACGAAGGCGTTGCAGGGCAGCTCCAGCACCCTCAGCTCCCCGGCGGCTCCGCCGCAGCCCTCCCCGGCCGGCAGGCCGCCGCAGGAGACCCGGGCCTCCTGGACGCCCTGGGCCACCAGCGCGCCGCGCACGGCCAGCGCGCGGGCCGTGGCGAGCTCGGGCGGCTCGCCCTCCGAGCAGCGGCCCCCCACGCAGGCGCGCAGCATCGGCTGCTCGAGGAGGGCACGGGCCGCGCTCCGCAGCGCCGCGAGCCCGGCCGGGGGCAGCTCGCTGGAGCCGGCCGGGAAGTCCAGCGGCCCTGGCAGGCGCATGCGCTGCAGCACGCGCACGTCGGCCCGCCGGCAGCCGCGGGCCTCCAGCTCGCTCACCATGCAGAGCACACGCCCGCACGCCGCTGGGCCAGCGAGGCGGCTCAGGGCGGCCCTGACGGCCTCCGCGCGCAGGAGGCCCAGCTGGGGGTCCTCCGCCTCCTCCCTGGCGCCCACGACGGCTACCTCGAGATCGGGGGACTGGGAGATCGCAGCCGCGGCGCTTCGCAAGAGGCCGAGCTGCTCGTCCAGCACCTCGGCGCTCCCCCTGCGGAACAGGACGCACTGCCTCAGGACCGCAACGGGCGTGACCACCGCTGCAGCCTCCACCTCCGCCACGTCGCCAAGGGAGTCTTCAAGCGGGCGCGGTAACGCTGCAAGCCTGATCGGCAGCAGCGACTCCTGGCAGGCCCGCCACGGCGGCTCTGGCTCGGCCACGTACACGAGCGGCCCTGCGCAAGAGTGACCTCTGGCGCGCGGCGTTCGAGGGGCCGCGGCGGGGCGAAACCCAAGCGCGCGAGCCGAAGCTGGAGGGACCCCTGCGGGCCCGCACGGGCTCGTCCTTCCGAAGCCACAGCTGAGAGGTCACCCGGGCGGAAGGTCGCCCTTACGCGTGGCCGGCTGGCGCCTGCTCCTTTGGCGCCGACCTCGCCGAGGCGACGGCGGGCGCTGGCTCAGGCAGGCGCTCTTGGGCAGCAGGTGGGGGCGCCGCGGGCAGGGGCGCCCGCTGCGGCTCTGGCGCCCGGGGAGCCACCTCCGTCGGCAGAGTGCCCAGCTCTGCCGCTGCAGGCCATGACGCCTCCGGCACCGGGGGCGCCTCCTCGACGACGGCACCGGGCTCGGGAGCGCGTGCTCCGCCGCAGCAGGTCACCGCGGGACCCGCGCTCGTCGCCGCCGCCGCGGTGGCTGACATGGCGCGGACCCACCTCAGCATCAGCGCCGTGGAGGCCGAGCAGCGCGCGGCGCGCTCCAGAGTTGCACCCGCCGCCTCCAGACGCGCGTCCACCGCGGGCACGAGTGCAGCCACTGCCGCGGCAGAGGCCGGGTCCCCCGAGCAGCCGAGCTGGAGCCTGGCCGTGAGGTTCTCTTCCCTTGCCATGGAGCGCTGCACTGCTGGCCAGGGTGCGCAGCCTGCCTTCGACGCGAGGGCGGAAGCTACGCCCCCGTGCCGCCTGCTGGGCGCGCATGCCTCCAGCAGAGCCGCCACGCACTCGAACACCGCCACCGCCACGGCTGGGGGCGACCCTGCGACGCACAGCGCCCTTGCCTCCTCCACGAGTGGCAAGTCCACATCCTCGACGAGCGGCGCCACCGTGTGCGACATTACGCCAGCATCGCAGCCGCACCTGCCACTGGCGCAGCCAAGTCCTTGGCGCAGGTCCACGGGCCGACCTGCTGGGCCCTGGTTGCCAGAATCCCAGCTGCAAGAAGCATCGGGAATCCCGGAGCTTGAGCCAGGCTACATTAGGAGGCAACTCCTGGGAGGTCTTCGTTGGAACGAGTAAGGGCGATTGAGCCCGATTAGAAAGCCACTTATCGGATTAGGCCGGATCAAGCCCGGGATTAAGCCGGATTAAGCGGGATGAAGCGGGATTAAAACAGATTAAAACGGATCGGCCCAGATTAAGCCGATTATCGACCGCAAAAATATCAGCGCCGATACAGATTTTTACCTCCTTGGAGTTGCATCCTAGACTACAAATCCCTATTTGCGCACTTCTGCAAAGAAGCTGGCGCGGCGCGAGCCGCTGGCGCAGTCCGGAGCTCTGCGCGCGATGGATCGAGCCCCACGAGTGGAAGGAAAAAGAAGTGAAACAGATGCTGGGCAAACCCTGGTACGCGGCGCACCCACGGCTTCTTAGCGGTGTCCCGAAGGCTAGCTGATGAGACTCTAACCGTGTCTCGGTGTTGTCCCGAGGGATCGTCGATGGTGTCCCAGTGGTATCCGAATGTTGTTTGTCACCCTTTTGGTGATGGGGGGATGAGTGCAACTTTGGGCTTGCGATTAGCTTCGCGCTCGACTGGTAGTCTAGCGACCTCCCTGATTATAAGCCACGTAAGCACCTCTCATGCTAGTTCGACGACTATCTAACTGATCATATGACGGCTCTCTGCCTGGCACACGGTTTCACTATACACACATACACACAGGTGAACATGTGTGTATATACATGTACAAATATACGAACACAGATGTCGGAGGTTGGGGGTGAGATAGAAATCAAACGGAGATCCCCCATCAGGAAACCGGCTTCGGTTTCGGCTTCGTGCTTCGTGCTGCGTGTGCAGGCGAGGCGAAGAGGCGCGCGCAAACGAGGAGTGATCTAGCCTTTGCTGGGGCAACGTCAGAGCAAATGTTCCTCCACCCCCTGGTTGGTGGATGGTGCTTCACAGTTGTCCTGCGGATGTCCTGTGGTTATCCCGCGGTTGTGCCGCGTTTGTCTCGGGATTGCCCCGATTATTGTCCCGATGTTGTCCCGATGGTTCCCGTGAGTGTTCCCGATAATTGTCCCGACGGTTGTACCGATGGTTGCCATGACAGTTGTCCGGATGGATGTCCACATGGTTTTTCCAATGGTTGCCTCCACGGTTGTCGCAATGGTTGCCCAATGTTTGTACCGATGGCTGTCCCATGGTTGTCCCGATGGTTGTCCCGATGGTTGTCCCGATGGTTGCCTCGATGGTTGTCCTGTGGTCATCCCGCAAGTTGCCCAGATGGTTGTCCCGATGGTTGTCCCGATGGTTGTCCCGACGGTTGTCCCGATGATGTCCTGATGGTTGCCCCGATCAACCGAAAAAGACAAGCTAACGCCCCCCCCCTTTGGCGAAAATGTATCACTGCCGCCCCTGGAAATTAGACCCCCCTTTTCCAGTGAAAACGTGACTCTCGCCTCATCAGCGCCGCGCGTACTCGTCGTACAAATTTGCAACAGCTTCACGGATGGAGGGCTGGTCCTATTCGTCTGGTGGAGGCTGACCCTTATTAAGAATGTGGTCATTGCCTTAGCGTCGCGCACATGCGTCTAAAGTTTACAAATGGCGGGCAGACCGTTTCCCGAATGTGGCCATCGACTCAGCGTCGCGCGCATTCATTTCAGAAAATTTGCAACAGTTTCCTGGAAAGCGGGTTCTGTTCAGAATGAGGCACTCGCCTTTGAGCCACGCCGATTTGACTTGAGAGCGTGGAAAAGTTGGACGAATGGAGGGCGGGCCCTTTTTTTCAGAATGTCTTTCTCGCCTTAGCGCCGCGGGTTTTCTTTTCAAAGAGTTTGAAAGAGCTTCGCAGATGGAGGGCGGGTCCTTTCCAGAATGTGGCTCTCGCCTGAGCGCCGCGCACGTTCGTTTGAAAAGTTTGCGAAAGCTTCGCGGATGGAGGGCGGGCACTTTTCGCATGCGATTCTCGCCTCAGACCCGCGCACACTCGCCTTCAAAACTTTGCGAGGGTTTCACGGATTAAAGGGCGTTCCCCTTTACAAATGCGGCTCTCCCCTCAGCGCCGTGCGCCTTCATCTCAAAGTTTGGAGGTGGGTCCGCGGATGGAGGGCGGGCCCTTTCCCAAAATGTCAGGGGAACAGAAAGTGGCATAAACATAAAAACTCGGAGGTCCGCGCGGATTTCTCGGATCGGCGCTGGACCCCCCTCCCTGGCGCGCGGAGGGCGCCAAAGGCGCGCCAGGGGCGGAGCCGGAGGCGCCGCCGGGGGGCCCCAGCGCCGATCCGAGAAGTCCGCGCGGACCTCCGAGTTTCTATGTTTATGTCACTTTCCGTTCCCCTAACATTTTGGGAAAGGGCCCGCCCTCCATCCGCCGACCCACCTCCAAACTTTTGAGACGAAGGCGCACGGCGTTGAGGGGAGAGCCGCATTTGGAAAAGGGAGCGCCCTTTAATCCGTGAAGCTCCCGCAAAGTTTTGAAGGCGAGCGCGCGCGGCGTTGAGGCCCGCGCCCGCGCCTCAGCGCCCTTTCCCAAGATGTGGCCCGCGCCTCGGTGCCGCACACAGTCGTCTGCAGACGACCGTAGCACTTTCGCGGGCGGGGAGAGCAGGTCGTCCTTCGCGGAAGTGCGCCTCGCGCCATTTAAACCCAAGAAACCCACGGCACCCTGGGGGCGAGCAGGGTGTCTCTTGGCATGGGCCCCCACTGTGCGCCAGGCACATTCGTCTCAAAAGTTTGAAAGAGCTGCACCGGTGGAGGGCGGGTCCTTTTCAAACAAGCGGCCCTCGGTCCAACGCCGCGCACGCTCGCCTTACAAAAGTTTGACAAGTCTTCGCGGACGGAGGGCAGGCCCTCCTAAGAATGGGGTTCTCGCCTCGGCGCCGCGCGCATTCCTCTTGAAAGTTCTCTCGAGCTTCACGAATGGAGGGCGGCTCTTTTTTTCAGAATGTCGCCCTCGCTTCAGCGCCGCGCACACTCGTCTGAAACAAATATGCGCGAGCCTCGCGGATGGAGGGCGGGCACTTCTCAAAATGTGATTCCGGTTTTGGCGTCGCGCGAATTTGCTTCAAACGTTGGCAAAGGCTTCATGGATGGAGGGCGGGTCTTATTGAAAATGCGAATATCGCCTCGGCTCCCCGCAAATTTGCTTCAAACGTTTGTAAGAGCTTCACGGATGGAAGGCGGGCCCTTTCCAAAATGTGATTCTCACCTTAGCGCCGCGCACATTCGCCTTCAGACTTCGCAAAACCTTCACTCATACAGGCGGGTCCTTTTTCCGAATTATGAACGTCTCAGCGCGAAGCCCCCGGCCCCTGCGGGCGCCTGGGATGCTTCGCCCACTGCCTTTTGCCCCACCTCTCCGGGCCCCCTGGCCACCTGGCGCGTCCTTGGGCGGTCACGCCGTAATACCCCTGCCACTGCCAGCCATATGTCTGCGTTGCTCCTAGCTCCGCACGGTTCAGTGCTGTGCCTACTCCTCGGCGCGCCGCGGTACTTCTGCCGTTCGTGGTGTCCCACTGCGCCCGCCCGCCAACTCCAGCTGCTGGCAGCCGCCCTCCCGCCACCCTTGCCACCGTGGTTTGCCACGGCCGCCCACCGAGCTCTGGCCCTATGCACCTGGCTGCTGCTGGCCCCCCCGGCTGCTCATCGTCGAACTCTTCGATGTCTGAACATCCCTTTTTCCTCTCGGCCGTCCCCCCCCCCCCTCTTTGCCCGCCGGCCAATTCGCAAGTTAGTGCCCGTTTCTAGCTTCTCGCTGGAGCAGAGTTCACCGCCTCGCCGCTGACGAAAAAAATCTCAACGCGAAGCGTCGCATTGCGGCAACATGCACGTTCCGCATTGCTCTCGCGCGCACTCTCGCAGGCGCAGCACAGAGACACATAAAGAATGGGCAGCTTAACACTAAAACATAATATCTTTCAATAATAGTTATACCTATCGGTATTTATATATATATATACAAACAAGCGACACGTGAAATCATGAACGTCTCAACGTGAAATCATGCGACACCACGCACGTTCCCTACCGCTCGCGTGCCCCCGCTCTCGCGAGACAATACAAAGATTCGGGAATTGCCATCGAAACTTAGGAAATGTGTGTAAAAAACATGCTGCACTCGTATTCTGAGGACCTCGACATAAAATAATGCATTGTCACACCGCGCACTGCCCTCCGTGCCCGCGCGCGCGTACTCGCGCGCACGTGCGCGCGTGTTCCCGCGCGCGCAATACAACAACCAATAAAGAATGGCAATCTAAAACTTCAAACTCTGGACTGGGAAAACAAACTGTTTCACTCGTACGTGGAACAAACTGTTTCACTCGTATGTTGAGGGCCTCTACGTGGAATAACGCACGATGACTCTGCGCAATTGCCTCATTGCCCGCACGCGCGCGCGCTCCCCCTCGTGCGCGCAAAACAAAAACATGAAACATTGCAAGCGGCAAACCCGCGGGCGACCCATCTCACCCTGGCTGACCCCCAGTAAGGGTATGTTTCGGACCAATGAATACTGCACAACGCGTACATGAGGACACAGGAGTGTCGGCACAATCGTGCCTGGGGTATCGTGCGAGATCCTACCTCAGCATGAAGGCCTTGCGCAGACACCTGGGCTGACCCTCAACTGAGGCTTCTTCGCCGAAGCCCATAAAAAAGGTTGTTAAACTTTGACCAATAATTGACGGGCGACGCCAAGCCGTTGAAACAAGGGGAGACCTGCTAAACGGATTAGCTCCTCCGTGTTCCATTCACCCTGGCACCAGCGGTTATGCTCACCGTGTGAGGCGATGTGTGTTCCACCGACCACCCCTCCGTCGCAGACATGAAGGACGCTTGCGAGCATACACAGGCAGAAATATCCATATTTCTCACACATAAACATACATATTCGCATACATATATATATATATATATATATATAGATCCGTGTGTACATGTATGCATGCATACAATCATGAAAATATATGTTTAAAAATGCAAGCGTGATCGGCAATGGCTGGAGGAAACCTGCCTGCGCGCGGCAGGGAAAAATACTCAGCATCCTGCCAGCCACCGCTTCCCCGGAGCCTGACTGCGAGAAGGAGGACATGATCCCTGCTACAAAAAATGTGGCTGTTGTGTCTCGCGGTTGATGCTCCTGCAGCTCGCAGTGCGCGCGTGCCGCCAGTGTATGTATATATTGCCTCATATATATATATATGTATATATATATGATATATATATATATATATAAATATATATATATATGTGTATGTGTGTGCGTCTCCAACAGGGTCAACGGGCGGAAGTGATCGGGATAAGAGGAAGATACTCGAAAAGTAAAACAGGAGCAAATGGGATACATGCTCAAGCTGAAGGCAAGAGAGAGAATGAAACAACCTGATGTGATCTGCAAGAGAGAAGCCCTTCCATCATGCACGGCTCCGATACACCGCTCCTCTACCTGCCCGCAACCGAAAACTTCGCGCCCCTCCTGCCTCGTGGGTGAAGACGTTAACTGAAGGTGTGACAGAAAACGTAGCCGAAGTGGTACGCGTCAGCCTGCGACTTGAGGAAGGAACCACAGATGCTTGCATGCTTTCACAGCCACTCAAGGACCTCAAGCTTTCTGGGAGAAGCTGATCACGAGTTGGGCCTCTTGGGGCCTGACAACTCACTGACTGGAGGACCAGGGTGGTAGCCAGCCTGCGGAATGCTCAAGGGATCGACTGCCTGGTAGCAGCAAGCTGCAACACCTGCTTGCAGCTTAGGACTGCCACTGTCATGTACCACTATGACAAAGAACGGATTACCAATATGAAGTCTTGCAGCACCTGCATGCAACTGATTACCACTGCAACTGTCATGTACCACTATGCAATACCTGCTTGCAGCTGGGGACGGATTACCAATATGAATTCTTGCACTATCCAAGAACTGCCGGTACGGTGGCTGGCCTGGAGTGTGTCTTGACGATGCGCATCGATTGAGAGTAGGGTCAGTTAGGATAGGACGAAGAACGGAATCCAACTGCAATACATACGAAAGTGATGGCTACACAAGCTGAGCCTTAGAGGAGCAACACTGATCAGTAAGGCTAGAGGCAAGGAAAAGCGTCTTTCAAGGGGGCGTCGCTGAGCACAACAAACAAAACATCACTGGGAACACACATACACACACACACACACTTCCTTCAGAACAGACTCCCCCCCCATTCCAGCAAGACGTCAAAAGACGACGGCGACGAAGAACAGGACGACGACGACGAAGCTCACGACGAAGTTCACGACGACGAAGCTCACGACGACACCACCGACGACAACGACGAAGACCGACGACCGACGATTCTGACGACGACGCGGGCGTGACATTCAAGGCGGCGGGCGGGTCGGGCGGGCAGGGCATGAAGTGCAAGCTTCGCTCCACGACGGTGCGACGCTGCGGGGGACAACAGCATCCATCGGTCGGAAGAAGTAGGCAGAAACATGAAGCAGAAAGGCGTTGAAAATAGATTGGGCTCCGTGCGCCCCATGAAGAGAACGGAAAGGGTGAAGCCACTCGTTCACTGCAGTAGGAAGGCGCTTGAAGTAGATTGAGATCTGGGGACCCAAGACTACCTACGTTCAATGACCGATGGGTACAGTGGAGGCCCATGCCGAGAAACACCTTGCTTGCCTCCAGGGTGCCCTGGGTTTCTTGCGTTTCGATGGTTTCGCTATGGAGAACTCGACGCTCCCGCACCAAAAAACCCTGGACGCCCTGGGGTCTCAGGGTTGGGTTTCTCGTGTTGGGCTTCCCGTGAACTGGCCTCCCCTGCAGTAAGAGAAACCGGGGAGAAACGACGACGGGCTGGACGTGTCAGCGCGGGCGGGCGAGCGGCACCTCTCCGTGGAAAACTGGAGCGGGCGGGCGGGACACCGCCCGTCGGTCGGAAGCAGTGGGCAGAAACATGAAGCACGGCGGGGGGCCAGTCCACAAGAGGCCTTCCACAGGAAACCCAACCCTGAGACCCAAGGGCGTCCAAGGGTTTTCGGTGCGGGAACGGCACGTTTCCCGTCGCAGGACCATCGGAACCCAAGACACCCAGGGTCTGCACTGTAGGCAAAAACATAAAAATATCACTGCACCGACCTTGCAGACGTGCTGCAGCGAACCCTTTGCGCGAATTTCTGTCAATGGCAAAACCCCCAGGCCGGCGAGCGAAGAGCGAACTGAATTCCACGTGGATGTGTTGCTGCCTTCTTTCCTAACCCAAAGAATCCGCACGAAATTCACTACGAAATCCAGAACGAAATTCACAAGGACAATATGGGTTCATCCGATTGTTTCCCGAACGAAATCCTTTCTGCGATGTTGGTGCCATGAGAAGTAGGAAGGCGTTGAAAATAGATTGGGTGTCCGCCCGCCCCCACAAGAGGACGGAAAAAGTGAAGCCACTCGGTCATTGAAGCAGGAAGGTGCTTAAAGTAGATTGGACTCTGGGACTGCACAAATACCTACTTTTAACGACCAAGAGGTTAAAAGTGTCGGGGACCTCATCTTCATCGTCCGCCTGCGTTTCTGCACCTCCGGGATTCTGGAAACTGTGCGCTTGCGGAGTCCGAGTGCAAGCCGACGCGGGCGTGTTCGTCAGCGTCGTCGTCATCAGCATCGTCATCCTCGTAAGTCGGCGCGCGGGCGGGGGGGTCGAGCCACCCCCCCTAAGTTGAAGGGGTGGGAGCCGAGAGCGCTGGAAACTGTAGGTAGGGTCCCCCAAGCGCCCACCGAAGAGGCAACCCAGAACCAAGCTAGACGACGGTTTCAGAGTCGCGTCGTGGGCGTTCAAGGTCGATCCGACCTGGCCGTCCTCCCGGCACAGTTCCAAGCGGCGCTACTCGAGGATTGCTCCGCGACTGGGTGTTAGGGTTAGGTGGGGCATCTCCCCTTTACAGGCGGATTGTGGACGAAAAAACTAACAAAAGTTACCCATATATTCTCTATAAATGATCGAAAGATCGACCCCAGACTATTCTTTACTGTTTTTGAATATTCCTCCTGTAGAGTTGAGTGCGTCCTTTGGGGGCAAACTCTGCTTCTCTGTTCAGGTCCAGACCTGATGAAAGTCTGACGCATGTCTGCGCTGGAACTCCGCTTCAAGTGTGGCCCTCAGCACCAATTCCGTTTTAGGTACGACTGGAACTCTGATTTAACTCTGGCTACGGCCCAAGTCTGATTTAGGTCTGACTGGGAACTCTAAAATAAGTATGATTATGGTTTAGTTTGGGCCCGCCGAAACCAATGTCGCGGCGTCGGCCCAGAACGCTGCCGGGTCGGCCCCGTGCGCATGCGTCTTCAAGAACAACAATAGGAATGCGTAAGCCAAGCGGCGGGTCACGGCTGGGGGCCAGCCGCCAGCTGCCAAACGCTGCGAGCTGGGGCGGAGCAGCGCCCCCCGCCTGCGCGGCCCCGCCCAAAACTGCCCAACGACAGCTGGGGGGGAAAAAAAGCTCACCCGAGGCTCGCTCCTCAGGGCTGCCGGCTGCCGCGCCGCGACAAGGCGCGCGTCGCGGTGACCGCCCGAATCCCCGCCCGCCGCCCGGGACAGGTCGGGGGCAGGACGCGCTGAGGAGAAACGCTGCATTTTTAGCGCTGCTCGGGAGCGCTGGAGGCGCCCTGGAGGCGCCCAGGACGAAGGCGGGGACGAGGGGCAAGGGTAGGAACGACCGCGAGAACGACGGCGGAGGCGACGGCAGGAACTGGGGTGGGAAGGAGGGCGGGGGCGATGGGCGAGAACGAGGGCGAGAACGAGGGCGGGAACGAGGGCGGGAACGAGGGCGGGAATGAGAGCGAGAACGAGGGCGGGAACGAAGGCAGGGACGAGGGCGGGAACGAGGGCGAGAAGGAGGGAGATGAAGAAGGCGGGAAAGAAAGCGGGAGCGAGGACGAGGGCGAGAACGAGGGCGGGAACGAGGGTGGGAACAGGGCGGGAACGACGGCGGGAGCGAGGGCGGGAACAAGGGCGAAAACAAGGGCAGGAGCGACGGCGGTAACGAGGGCGGGGGGCGACGGCGGGAGCGAAGGCGAAAACGAGGGAGAGAACGAGGGCGAAAACGAGGGCGGGAACGAGGGCGAGAACGAGGGTGGGACCGAGGGCAGGAACGAAGGCGGGAACGAAGGCGGGAACGAGGGCGAGAACGAGGGCGAGAACAAGGGCGAGAACGAGGGCCAGAACGAGGGCCAGAACGAGGGCGGGAGCGAGGGCGGGAACGAGGGGGGGAGCGAAAGCGGGAATGAGGGCGGGGGGCCGCCTCGGGGCGCCTCTGGGATTCCTCTGGGCGCCTCGGAAATTCCATTGGCGCCTCCGGGGAACCTCCAGGGAACCTCCAGGAGGTCTGATTGAAGTCTGATTCAGGTCTGCTTGAAGTCTGTTTAAGGTCTGTTTGAGGCCTGTTTGAGGTCTGTTTTGGGCCAAACTCTGATCAAGGTCTGTTTGAGGTATGTTTAAGGTCCGTTTGAAGTCTGTTTGAGATATGGCCGAAACTCTGTTTCAAGTCTGATTTCCCCGGGCGGCCCTTGGGTTCCACGGGCGGCATCCGGGCGGCCCAGGAACGAGGGCGAAAACGAAAACAGAATGAGGGCGGGAACGAGGGCGGGAACGATGGCGGCAACAAGGGCGGGAACGAAGGCGGGAACTAAGGCGGGAACGAGGGAGAGAACGAGGGCGAGAGCGAAAGCGACAGCGGGGCCACGAAGGGCGACAGCGGGGCCACGAAGGGCGACAGCGGGGCCACGAAGGGCATGCGTATGGGACCACGAAGGGCGCGAACGAGCGGGGGCACCCGAACGGGCGGGTCGGGCGGACGGACCGTCGTCGTCGCTGCCGTCATCGTCGCCGCTTTCGTCGTCGTCGTCGTCCCCTTAAGGCAGGGTCGTCGGCACTGGCCGCAAGGCCTTCCCAATCGCCCTCTCCCCAAAACATCACTCCCACATGTCGTGTGCGTCAGCCATGCCGTCCACGCTGAGTCGACTCTCATCGACGCTTACCGACGCTAACCGACGCCAAATCGGCACTACCTGACAGGCGGGTCGGGCGGGCGGACCCTACCTAGCGGGGCAGAGGGCTGGCCCCAGCGGGCGGGCTGGGCGATCGGGATGTTCAAGCGGGCGGGCGGGCGTCCAAACACACGAGCAGGCAGGCCCTAACCAGCTGGGCGGGTGGGGGAGACCTTGAAGCAGACGGGTCGGGCGGGCGGACCCTCAATGAGAACGAGCGGGCGGGCTTCCAAGCAGAAGACGAAAGGGCGGGCCCAACGGGCGGGTCGGGGGCCGGACCCTAACGGGCGGGCCTGGCGGGCGGGACATTCATGCACGAATCTCTCACAGCAGACCGTAAGAAAGGCTCTGGCGATAGCGCGAGCCCCTCGGACTCCACGTCGAACTGGCCCAGCACCAGCTACGGGTGCGCCTCCACGGCGCCGAAGACGACGCCGCGGCCACGCTGCCACACCAGAGGCCCTCGTCCACGCGCTTGCCACGTTCAACCCGAACTTGCGTGGCAGTTCGCGTCGTCAAGCCGCAAGCTTGCCCAGCCAGGCACAATGGGCCTCGGGACCTGCGCCAAGGGACAAAACATGGCAAAGGTACCAGATCCTTTAGGCCCAGGTGGCATACGTAGCAGCAGGAGGAAAAGCTGCAGGACGAAGGGCGGGGGGCTACTTTTGCATCCTCCTCCTCCTCC